CAAGCCCTGCCACAACCTTCCAAAGTGACCAACGTCCAGCTCCAGGCCAGTGAGGTGACCAATGTCCAGCTCCAAGCGCTGCCGCAGCCCTTGGACGTCACCAAGATCCAGCTCCAAGCTGCTGAGGTGACCAACGTTCAGCTCCAGGCCCTGCCGCAGCCCTCCAAGGTGGCCAACATCCAGCTCCGTGCTGTGCCGCAACCCTCGGACATCAACATCCAACTGCAGGCCACCGAGGTGACAAGTGTCCAGCTCCAAGCCCTGCCGCAGCCCTTGGATGTCAGCAACATCCATCTCCGAGCCTTGCCACAACCCTCTGAGGTCACCAACATCCAGCTGCAGGCCGCTGAGGTGACAAATGTCCAGCTCCAAGCCCTGCCACGGCCCTCCAAGGTGACCAACATCCAGCTGCAAGCCCTGCCACAACCCTTTGGATGTTACCAACATTCAGCTGCAGGCCACCGAGGTGACAAACGTCCAGCTGGAACCCCTGCCAAAGCCTTCTGAGGTCACCAACATCCAGCTGCAGGCCACCGAGGTGACAAACATCCATCTGGAAGCCCTGCCACAACCTTCTGAGGTCACCAACATCCAGCTGCAGGCCACCGAGGTGACAAACGTCCAGCTGGAAGCCCTGCCACAACCCTCTGAGATCCCCAACATCCAGCTGCACGCCCTGCCGCAGCCCTCAGAGGTGCCCAGTGTTCATCTCCATGCCACGGACTTGGCAGATGTCCATCTCCAGGCCACGGAGGTACCTGACGTCCAGCTGCAGACCACAGAGGTGACAAATGTCCAGCTGCAAACCACCAAGGTACCTGACATCCATCTCCAAGCTGCAGAGGTGTCCGACATCCGTCTCCAAACCATGGAGGTCCCCAGTGTCCATCTTGAGGCAACAGAGGTGCCTGACATCCATCTCCAGGCCACAGAGGTGCCCAGTGTCCCTCCCAAAACCGCTGAGGTGCCCAACATCCATCTCCAAACAACAAAGGTGACCGATGTTAACCTGCAGGCCACCGAGGTGACTGACGTCCATCACCAAACCATGGAGGTGCCCAGCATCCATCTCCAGGACGCAGAGGTGACCACTGTCCAGCTGCAAGCCACTGAGGTGGCCAGCATCCATCCACAAACCACGGAGGTGACAAATGTCCGTCTACAGACCACTGAGGTGCCCGATGTGTGTCACCAAACCACTGAGGTGCCCAGTGTCCATCTCCAAGTCACAGAGGTGCCCAGCGTCCATCTCCAAGACATCGAGGTGTCCAGTGTCCATCACCAAACGATGGAGGTGCCCAACATCCATCTAAAGATCACGGAGGTGCCCAGCATCCAGCTGAAGACAGTGGAGGTGACAAATGTCCATCTCCAGGCCACTGAGGTGCCCAGTGCCTGTCACCAAATGATGAAGGTGCCCAACATCCAAGTCAAGACCTCTGAGGTGCCCAATGTCCAACTCAAGACCATGGAGGTGCCCAATGTCCAACTCAAGACCACAGAGGAGGTGCCCAGTGTCCAACCCAAGACCATGGAGGTGCCCAGCGTCCAACTCAAGACCATGGAGAAGGTGCCCAACATCCAACTCAAGACCATGGAGGTGCCCGACATCCAACTCAAGACCATGGAGGTGCCCAACGTCCAACTCAAGACCATGGAGAAGGTGCCCAACATCCAACTCAAGACCATGGAGGTACCCAACACCCAACTCAAGACTGTAGAAGTGCCCAACGTCCAACTCAAGACTGTGGAAGTGCCCAACATCCAACTCAAGACTGTAGAGGTGCCCAGTGTCCAACTCAAGACTGTCAAGGTACCCAACATCCAACTCAAGACCATGGAGGTGCCCAGCATCCAACTCAAGACTGTGGAGGTGCCCAGTGTCCAGCTCAAGACTGTCGAGGTGCCCAATGTCCAACTCAAGACTGTGGAGGTGCCCAACGTCCAACTCAAGCCCACGGAGGTGACCACTGTCCCTCTACAGACTGTGGAGGTGCCCAGTGTCCAGCCGCAGCCCCCTGAGGTGCTGGTGGCAGAGGGACACCCATTGCCCTCCCCGTCCCCACGGCTAGCGGTGCTGGGGGCATCCGGGGGGCTGCCCCCTGTGCTGCTGCTGCGGGGGTCCGGGGGGGGCCCTGCCCGCCT